GGGGGGTCATGCCGGCTGTGCGGGGAGGTATCTGGGTAAACTGCAGGAGGGATGGGGGCCGGCTGAACTCTTGTGGGCAACAGCAGCAAAGGGGCAGCGGAAGACATGAGGCAGGCGGGGCCCCACGTCCTTCCGGCCCCGGGCAGATGTGAGGGCCCTTCTCTCCCTCTGAGCACAAAGGCCCAGTGATTCAGAACAGGGTGGAAGGGCCTGAGGTGCCCTCTGCCAGCCACCCTGAGTGCCAGCATGCTGGTGGACAGGACAGATGAGAGTGGAGGCCAGGCCTGGGTGGACAGGCAGGGTACAGGGCACGAACCACAGAGCACACACACAGGAGCGTGTAAAAATATAAAAGGGCACGTACAACAGCAGCCAGCCAGTGCACACAGTCGGTGCAGAATAAATTCTTGTTGCATGAATGGATTTTGTTCCCTCTAAACGCAGCTCGAGATGTAGTATTGATTCACGGTATTGTTACTCAAGTATCTGGGAATCGGGCAGGCCTCCACGTGTCAGTGGCCCAAAAGGAAACTGGACTCTGCGTTTGTACTGTTCTGTACACCGGTTTGTTAGAATTTTTCTTTTCTTTTTCATTTGCCCTCACATTCTATTGTGAACAATTTCCACATGAATAGAAGACTGAACTGCGACAAAGGGGCTAATTGCTGAAATATACAAAGAGCTCTTACAGACCAATAAGAATTCAAGAACAGGAATCAACCAAAGAAAGGAAAATAGTCCCTAAACATGAAAACAATACTTGACCTCAATCGTGATGAAAGAACGCATCACTAATCTACAAAGGATCGTTCTTACTGCCTTTCAGAAGTTTGAAATATTTAGTGAGATTCTGGTGGAAAGTCAGGGTGAGTAGACACAGCTTCACACTTTAGGTGGGAGCGATGACCACAGCCTCTTCAGAGGCCTAATTGGTAAATCTACCAAAACTTCAGTTGCACAAAACCTTCCAGTAACTTCACATTTTAAATGTTATGCTCTGTTTCTACAAAATTTTTTAAACGCTTATGTAGAAACTGGATCCAGTGGCACATGCCTGCAATCCCGGCCCTGTCTCAAAATAAGAAATAAAATGGGCGCGAGAGGGAGCTAGTGGCCGAGTGCTCCACCCCCAGTTCCATCCCTAGTAACACCCTTCCAGGTTTTTTAAGTGAAAAAATTAAAATCTCTGAGTCCAAAGATGTATGGCACATTCTTAATTTTTACTATTTGTGTGTGTGTGTGTGTGTGTGTGTGTGTGTGTGTGTGTGTGT